TTTGGGATTTGCTGTGGGGTGTGTAATTATTATCTACTTTTGTGGGAATTTGAAGGCAATGTTTGTGTAGATTGGAAGGATATGATGACACATTTGGAAATGGTTTCGTTTGAAAATGTTGGTTGTCTTGTTTCTTTGTTTCTTTGCCTTTTTAATATTACAGTGAAATTTCGTCTAGTGTCTCGAGTTTGGAGGGGCGCGATTGCAATGCTATCAAGTTTTCGTGTAGCATATGTGAGAAGAGAATATTAGGATTTGCGGAGAAATTGAACAAAATGGACAGAATTATTTGAATATGTGTCGTGCCAGTTGAATTTACAGTGAATGACAATGAGTTACTCTTGATCAGTGAGCGTTCATGTGAAAATGTACTTGTGATGGTAATATAATGAGATGAGACTAACCCTTCATGCTCTTGATATGAAGGTAGTGTCGTCTAAATTCCAAAGTTTTTGTATTTATAACTTTCATCTGTTCTATGCAATTGTTTTAAGGATTTCTTCTTATTCCCTCTTTTTTCACCACGGTTGATTTCACTATCTGATGACTGTTAGTTTTAGGTTTAAACTAACTTCTTTCTTTGAGACTTGAATGCGAGACCTTCAAAATCCCAGATAAATTTTATCACTTCTGATCTATTTGTAATGATCAAATAAAGGAGCTTCTGGATGACCCAGTGAAACAGTACATATGTCACCGAGAACATGAACAAGCTATTTAACAATTTGACTCTCGACTTTGATAAGCTTTTGGATTACCGGACAAAAACTAATGATCTAAGAGCAACTAATTAGAAACACCTGGAGTCACTAATTAGTGGTTATATTAAAATAATATTTAAGATAAAATAATTAAAATTGATTTGATGTAAAAGTATGAGAGAGATGATGTGAAGTAATGGTTAATTAAAATTATGTGAGTTGATGAATAGTGAATTAAAGTTGATGTGGTGTATAAGAATAATTGATTGATATTGTTAATTATATTCATAATATTGATGATAGTGGGGTTGAAATAAAGGTGAGTTAAAAAAAATGATTGAGTTAAAAATTTTTGGAATTTTTTTGAAAAAAAAAATTGTATCCAAGTATCCTCGCAACTATGAGTCAAAAATGTTAGGGTCTTGAATATTGTTGGTATTTCTGTAAACCACAACCCAAGTGCGTTTTTTACTACAATCAGAAGGTATAAATCCATCTGGAATAGTTTTTCAAACGTAAAACAACGAATATCATAGCTCAATTGAATTCAGCTATGGTTAGGTAACATTTGCAACACCAAGTTCTCGTTTTTAATGTTTTTTGTTCGAATGGGTTGCTCTTATTAGCATGTTTTGCATTTGTTCATGTAGTTATTGTTTAGTGTAGTTCGTTGTCTTACATTTATTGGAAAGCAAAATCTCCAGCATATACTTAGTGTGCTTTCTTGTTTGTTGGAACAAAACCTTACTGTTCCATCATAATGTAGGTATTCGATTATTAGTGAAACTAATTGATATTTAATTGCTACCATGGTTTTAATTTGGTTTAATGTAGGCATATGTTGACTGTTAAGGTGATGAGAAGGTCAATTGTGCAAGAATTGGAAAGTCCAAACTGCTGTTTGTTGGGGTTAAAGGGATCTCTGGTCAAGTTTTGAAGGTGTTATTTGCAAGGAACCCAAGCATCAATTGCCCACACTTCCCAAAGTAAATAACATCACAAAACTTGAAATCTAAAATAACAAGTTATGCTTAGCAGAAAACGAACTTGACCTAGTAAGAATAATGATTATATGAGATTGTGAGGTGTTCATTGGTGATATTGATTCTTTTTCAGGCAGGCATCATGTTCATGTTGTCACGAGGACGTTCGGAATCTCATTGCTGGAATCTTGAGCAAAAGAACACGTTTATCGTTGAATATTTTCCAGATAATGTCAAACTGTATCATATAATATAGCTGGTCCATAAAAAGTTACCAGTTTCAACACTAAAGAGAAACAGGAAAAAACTGTAAGCCCTTCGCAGACAAAGTGGATCTTCAAATGAAAACAGTCGAACACAAATAATGAGCCTACAAAATTATCAGACGGTTAAGATTTCTGTAAGATGAAAAATCCTAAATTGCTCTTCAAAAGATTATTCAAATGTGGTAGAATTGATGATAAAACGCCGACGAGTACTTCATACAATTCCGAGCAGCCTTTTCTAATTATCTAAAAAGCAACAAGCAGCGGAACAACAACATTTCCCCCCACAGGTCGGTAAAGCATAAAAAGAAAATTATGATTAGAAAAATTAGCGGCTTTATCATTTTTACATGCAAAATACTCTGAGGTAACATTTCAGACCTCATCAGCCCTGAAAGCAGACTACAAATGATCTTGGTTCTTAACATGCACTCGTTGGCTTTGATCCCTTATCTAGCTTCTTGGACTGCAACCTCTGCATGAACTTTGGATTGGCTTTGAGCCTCTCTTTCACATCCAATATCCGAGCATGCTCCACCAGTTTCCTAGCTTTTCCGGCCTCCTCGATCAACGCAAATAGTGTCCTGAGGCAATCCTTTCTATTTTCCTCCCGATGCTCGAACCTTAGATAAATAAAAATAAATAAATAAAAAATAATGAGAGAAAAATTAAGACAACAATGTCGTACGTAATGACATCGAACAACATCATTTGTGAAGAGTGGAGTAGCAGCCGAAAATTTAAAAAAAAAAAAAAAGTGATTTTGTTGTCTATTTCTCAACATATCTGCCATATATTTCTTCTTCAGACAAGAAAATGAAAGGAACAAATAGGCATATTCAGACCAGGGACCAGACCACATTACCTAATCAAGAAGGGTGTGATTGTTTATCAACTCAACCAAAAAAAAGAAAAACCCAATCAAAACTCAAATTTAACTCAACTTTAACCCAACTCCACTATCTCCAATATTATCAATATAATTAAATAATATCAACCAACCATTCTTACACATCACATCAACTTTAATTCACTATTCATCCACTCACATAATTTTAACTAACGATCACTTCCAATCATTTTTCTCTACATCAAACCAACTTTAATTATTTTATTTTAAATAATATTTTAATTTAAACTTAAATATCCACTATCAACTAATCATACCACATTTTTTTCAAAATCAACTATAGTTAAAAAAAATAAAAAATAAAAACAATTAAAAACTAGTTCAATCCATATCCAATCACACCCTAAAAATTTGAACATGGTTACTTTAACCGTAGAGAAATTTTATGTCAATAAACAGAAACGTATCATGACACAAGCATTACTACACATACTGATCAAGATCATCTTACTAAAAGTACAGCAAACCATGTGGGGGAAAGACTTATACCTCTCGCTAGTAATGGTGAGCTCATCTTTCCCTGGATTGTACCTCTTTCCAGCCAACTCCCTCAACCGCACAAACTGATGCTTGGACAGGCCAAGCTCCTTAACAGTCACTGCTAGCTTCACTTTACGATTCTTTGGGTGCCATGCATCACCGCCGGGACAAAAGACTACTCGGGTTTGCCACCTGAGGATTGGCCCTTCACCAGGTGGGTCATCATCATGAGCCTTGTTGTCAGGCGCAATATCCTTGCCAAACTTAGGTGGTTCCTCAGCCTCCATTAGCTTGGCGCACTCCAACACCATCTGGTCCTCAAACTCCTTGAACAGCTCGTAACCTTCTTCGACCTCGAGCTCGCCCTTTTCAACCCTGTCGCCTATCTCGTTAAATTTCTTCTCTACCTTCTTCTTTATCTCATCTGAAAATAGGCCACTGTTAGAAGGGGGAATTTGATGACAAAGGAAGCAATTATGTATTTGCTTCTTATAGAATCGTGCAACTAATTGGTAGAGTTGAGTTGATTTGATATATTTTTAAGACTCAGATCATTGATGTTCATATGAAGATGCCAAAAAAAAAAAATAAAAAATCAAGAGGTGCATGCAGGCTTAAAGGAGACATTAGGTGGACGAAAAAAGTAAATTAAAAGAAAAAGGATATAGCGCCTGAAACATGTAGTCTAGATCAGTCAATGATGAACATAATACTGTTGAAGAGGAATCAAGAATCCAAGATGTGGCATTACTCTTAGATGGAACATAAAGTTTGCGTGCAAGTTTACAGCAAAAATCTTGAGTCTACAACCAACAAGACCTTCAAGTACTATTCTGTCATCAAGTTATTTTTATCCTTAGAGCCATGATCATACTCCACCAACCCACATCTCATGTAACTCAACGAATATTCTTTCCGGTTAAGAAATCGATTGATGACAATAGAATATAACTCTGCCATCCAAAAAAGTTGCATTGTTCAAATGCTTTCAGTCAGAGATGAGCACACAATTGAACTTCCAGGATCAGAAAGGCAAACAAAAGCAGTGTAAAAGACATTTTCAACTTGAATGGTACAGTTTAGTGATAGTTGTCATGTATAATTAACCACTGTATCCGAAAATAGCGTACCCCACAACTAAAAAGCAACAAAATCACAGGAAAAACATCGAATGGCAATCACAATATAGTTAGAGTCGAATCACCCAAGCTAAACACACTGGCAAAAGGGGAAATCATGCAATACTACCTGGTAGAAGCTTGTCCCAGCTGAGCATATCCTCTAGTATGGCTTCACACTCTTTGGTATCATCAAGTTCACCATCCTCAACTGCCTCTTTGATCATGTCGTCCCATTTCTTGTCATCCATGTGGAAGTACGGGTCATCCGTCAGGTCCTTCATCACATAGTCCCTAGCATTGTATAAATTATCAATCTCTTCATCAGTTGAATGCAGCTCCTCAAAATCTGACTCAAAATCTTCGTCCTTCACGTTATCCAGTGGCTTCATCACAAGCTCGTCCATTAGCTCATCATCTGTTTCTTCATGCTTCTTCACAAGCCTTCTCTTCAGAACTGACTCAAGTATCGTCGGGAGTGCCTCCTCGTTGCCAGTGTCAAAATATTCCTCTATCTGGAGTTTTAGGTCTGGAACAGATCACAATCAAAGAAGCTGCACACTATTAGTATTTGGGCCCACATAGCTCTTTGAAGCACAAATTGAAATCCAATGAAAATGTATCACAACGTATAACCACGTAAAGAAAACATTTGTATCTTTATTCCATCTAATAAATCAAAATCTTGTGCGTCATATCACATTTTACATCAAGTAGCTTCTAAAACAATAGCGAATTTTGATGCATAATCAAATATGACTGGAAATTCATACGTAAATCCGAAATCCGAATGCCAACAAAACTAAGTTACATATTTCCTCGGTGTAACCAACAAGGATAAGCTCAAGCACTATCCAATTCGCCATTGATAAAATTGAACTTCAAAGGGTAAACATTTGTCCCTCTCTTAACTTTTGCAGGCACAGAACAAAAGAAAATTGAACCATCAGCACAACCTTACTGAATCTTATCTAATAACCTTAATGCACAACCTTTATTGCCCACATCTTCCACATCGAGCGTCGCCTCCTTCTTCTCTTCGGTTAGGGCTACGCTGGCTTCGGAGTCAGGGTTAGCACCGGGATCGGAGCTTGCATTTTCCGATGAGAAAAATCGCATACCGGAAGAAAGCCGGCTGAGCAACGATGCATTTTCAGTGATGTAGCGGCCGAGTAAATGACTGGTATCGCCATTAGATACTGCCGGTGAAGATTTGAGGTTCCGAAACAAGTGGAAATTGCGCGTGCATAGAGAGAAATTTCTCAGGAGAGATCCCCTCATCGTGATGACTACTAGCTAGGGTTTTTGGATGGTTTCTGGTTCGGCCTTCGCTCAATTTCTAGTTTTTCACCTCTGAGTAGTTACTGTTCGGAGATTGTAGAGTGGAAACTTGAAAATAAGAACAGTAAAATGTGATTGAATATATTTTCATTTATTATAAAAAACAACAAAAAAAAATGTTGGGTGAAAAATTAAAGATAGAACTATTGATTTTTAAATATAAAGTAATTATGTGATATAATGACTAATACTCCTATTTAAGTATAACTAGTAATCAACCTGTGCATTTGCACAGAGACACGAGTACTTTAACAACATAACAATATAAAAAAAAAAAACAAAAATAAATCATAATAAAATTCATGAAAAAAAGTAAAAATTAAGAAAATAATTTTCAAAATTGATTTTGATCAAGTAATTGATATGGAAGAGCCGTTACAACCATTTTCTTTATGCTAATACACCCGGCCATTTTCATGAGTGGATGTGACTTAAAATTTGAGTACAATTTTGTAACTCCCTTGATTGGTTTATGCTCATAATTTATGGCATTTGTTGATACCAAATTTTGGCCTCGCCTATTAAAATATTATACGTGAATATGTATTATATTAATTATTTTAATTTTGGGCCCTAAAATAATACTGCTTGTGATAATATCGGGCCCATTAAACATATATATAAATACCCCGATGATGGACATCATCGAGCTAAGTCTGAGGGGGTGTACTATTATTTTCTCTCTTTTATCTGAACGAAGCAAGGCGGTGCAAGGATCTCATCTCCTTCCTCCTGCTTCTTCTTCTATATTTTCATGAAATATACATAAAAAAATCACCAAAAAATCCTATACAAAAAATACACAATAAATTACTCTGAACCCCCCATGTTGATCAAATTTCGAGCATCAACAGTTTGGCGCTAGAAGGAGGGCCTCGCAATTGATTCGAGGTAATTCTCCGGCTTAACACCACAAACGCCATCAATTTATATTTCAAATCCGATTCTCAAAACACCATCCAGAAAACCTCATCTACCGCTACATAATTTCTTCTCATCACAAAAACAATAAATATGAGGGAACCATGATTATTCCTGTTCCTCTGTTTCCCTGTGAACACACAAAAAAGAAAGAAAGAGTGAGAAAGAATAGGTGAGAATTGCAGCGGCTGTGAGAGGATAACGATTTTCTTTGAACAAGAGGAAGCTATGTCTGTCTGGTTTTACTCTTATCACGCAAAAAAGAGAGAAAGAGATGTCTCGATGACAAGACAAGCTTGAAATGGATGCGTGACTTGCGGTAACATCAATCGAGGAAGTCGAGAGGATGCGCAACGAATACTATGCTCTCTGACTGGCCGGAGACGTCCCGTAGCAATGCCCATCACCGTCGTCAGCACCTGCTACAAAAAAAAATATATAAAGAAAAACTCGATAGAAACAGTTGACGGCACCGCTTGGGAACGGTCAGTGGTCTCGCCGACAGGAAAATTTCAATAAAAATACACGTTGCCTCTGCCACAATACACGTGGACGTTCCCGCTCAGTCTCACGGGCCCCACTCCATCTTTATCGACAATACCGAATTTGATTGGGGCCGACCTCACCAATGACGGTCAGAACTCAGAATCGACCCCGCAACAGACCGAGGTCCGACCTCGTCGTTTACCGACGAGCTTCAAAGCCATATCTCGGTCTTCGATATCTCACCGTTGGATCCGACCTCGAAACGCCCCGACTTGGTTTCAGTCGTCGAGGATGAACTTTTCACATAAGGGCCGACCTCTGCGACCCGACTTCGTGTTCTTAGGTCGATTACCGAGTTGCACAAACCGATCTTACAATATCGGTACCTCAATACCGGGCTCAACCGCCGAGATCCGACCTCAGCAATAATGACCTCGAAAAACGCACCTCGGCACCGACTGACTTCACCTTTGCCGAGATTCCGACTTCCTCGCCTTCAATTGTCGGGACCAACAGACTTCGGTCAACAGCCATCCCAAGCTCGGGTCTCGAAAATGTAAGTCAGGCCGACATCTTCACCCGCCGATCGTGGACCTTACTGCCGGCCGACTTCTCAAAATTGCCGGTACCGACCTCAACTCAAATTGCCGGTACTGACTTCACAACAGCCATCGAGGTCCGACCAAAATCCCGACCGATTTCCGAGATCGAACGACCAACTTCATATCTTTAATTCCCGACTTTCCACTATCGGAACTGACCTCAATTAACGACCAACTTTAATTGCAATGGCCGACCTCAATTGTCGGTACCAATCAACTTCAAATTCGGGGTCACGTTGGTGCTGAATTTCTTTGACCTTAAAATCGGGGCCCGACTCGCCGACCTCACAGATGGACCGAGATCTGACCGACCTCATAACAGATCGAGATTTGACCTCGAATTCTTTGGACCGACTTCGGTCAATCCGACCTCAGACGCCCCGTGGCCAACCGACTTCACTGCAGCCCAAACCGACTTTAATTAATGGGTCCATCGAGCACCCACCAAGACTGACATTATTACAACCTAGATTTCCAAATCTCTCTTTGCGATCAAATTGGCCCTACAATAATCAAGTCGAACCGACTGATATAACACGGCAGATCCACCTTCGTCACTTCCGGTCAATTTCACGTCACAGCCGTCGGACTCTCAAATCGCAGCCGGACCTCTAATCTCCATCTTTAGTACCGGAGATCCTCGATGACAAGACAAAAAATAAAAGTCGTTCGACGGAATCATTGAATCCAAGGCCGTCCTTTGAAAAATTGCCGAACTGACGAGTTGTATTCTCGTCGGCGATTTTGTAAACAGAAAAAGGAAAGAAAGAGAAATGAAATCAAATCCAAGAAGAAAATGAGAAAGAGACGCTGAGCACGTATCCGGATAAGGATTTTCAACAAGGGAAAAAGTTTATGCCCCACGTGTTGAGCTTTCGGGCTTAATAAAGATTTTAGTGTGGGCCGATAAAGTAAAAATTGGATTGGGCCATCAAAGGAAGTAAGTGAACTGAAATTGGGTTGCAACTGGGGTCTATTAAAGCTAGTGCTATACTGCAGATTCTAAACTGATCAGCGGCCCGAAGTGATCGACCACAATCAAGATAAACACATTATCATTCAGTATGTCGGAAGTTGCGAAGGGGAAATTATTTAAAACTGACTGACATATCAACCGACCTCACTTATGAATGTCGGGGAGGAATCAACTTATCTATGACGAGGTCGAGCTCATTTATTCAAATCGAAGTCGAACTCATTTATCAATGCCGGGGCCGAATTGATTTATCGACGTTAGAGTTGACTTCATTTATCTACGCTAACGCCGAAGTCACTTATTCATTTGTGACGCTGATATATTCAGCTCGCCGTGAGCCACGATTCCAGGTAAGCTGACATCCTGTTATTGCTCGCCGTGAGCCTTGACTCCGGCAGAGCTGATATTTACATTTTCTCACTGTTGAGCCACGACTCCAGCTGAGCTGACATCCTGTTATTGCTCGCCTTGAGCCTTGACTCCGGCAGAGCTGATATTTACATTTTCTCACCGTTGAGCCTCGACTCCGGCTGAGCTGACATTTATATCTGCTCGCTGTTGAGCCTTGACTCCGGCTGAGCTCACATTTACATTTGCTCGCCGTAGAGCCTCTACTCCGGTAGAGCTGATATCTACATTTTCTCGCCGTTGAGTCTCGACTCCGACTGAGCTAACGTCGACACATTTTCTCGCCGTTGAGCCTCGACTCCGGTTGAGTTGACGCATATATTACCTCGCCGTTGAGCTCTTGCTCCGACTGAGAGGGCTTCTATATTTTCTTGCCGTTGAGCCTCTACTCCGGCTGAGTTGACGCATATATTTACCTCGCCGTTGAGGCTCTGCTCCGGCTGAGCCCACACTGGTTAGGCAAAGTCAATAAGACCTTTCCGGCTGGGAAAAATTAAAATAAAAATAAAATTAAGTCGGCACAGTAAAAAAAGCCGAATCTCAAAAAATAATTCGGCTAGCCGACTCTCAAAAAATAAGTCGGAAACAAAAATACCGACGTTCCATTAAAAAATCCAGCGAGTAAAATAAAATGCTGAATATTTTAGTCGGAAATAAAACATGCCGACGTTCCTTTAAGAATTTAGCGAGTAAAATAAAATGTTGAATATTCTAGTCGGAAATAAAAAATACCGACGTTCCTTCATATACAATATTCCGGTAAGGCATAGCACCTACCGGCAGACAAAAATCAGACTCGACAAAATATCGAGGTAACATCATTTTTCGTGCATTAGTCATTTATTGCACGTACTCATCATATATTCATACATTCATACATACATTAATACGCGCGTCATACATGCATCTTGACATAAACATAAAAAGTCAAGCAAAAAAATCCTTAAGGACCCACGCTGGTGAGGCACTCTGTAAGACCTTATTGGCAGGGATCATTAAATTCCTTAAGGACCCACACTGGTTAGGCAAAGTCAATAAGACCTTTCCGGCTGGGAAAAATACAAAAACAAAATTTTACACGAGTTTTTCAGCTCGGTAGGGTAAAGCCTTTACTTACACCAAGTTCTTCAGCTTGGTATGGTTGATACTCGTTCTTATAATCCTTAAAGACCTACACTGGTTAGGCAAAGTCAATAAGACCTTTCCGGCTCGAAAAAATAAAAATAATTCGGCTAACCGACGTTGGCACAATAAAAAGGCCGAATCTCGAAAAATCATTCGGCTAACGGATGTCGGCACAATAAGAAAGCCGAATCTAAATAAAATAAAATAAAATAAAAATAATTCAGCTAACCGACATTGGCACAGTAAAAAGGCCGAATCTCGAAAAATCATCCGGCTAACCGATGTCGGTACAATAAAAAAGCCGAATCTAAATGAAAAAATAATAAGAAAATCTTTTCCAAACTCTGAAGTTGGTTTGGCAAGGCTAACTCCCTACATATTACATCAAAGATTGGGAACACACTACCCGATCGAAAAATAATTAAATAAAAATAAAAGACCGAAGACCGGATACCAAATTATCCGACCAGGTCCACATAGTAAAGAAAAACAATCACAAACCAAACAAAAAATCACGCTGTC